AATTAGAAAAGCAAGAGACTAGTGATAGTTAGATTGGTTTAAGTTATTCTCAAACATGAATACACCCGAAATCTACATCATGAATTCTACTCAACTTTATCATAAACCTTATCCACCTACCAATTGCTTTGAGTTGCTTTCAGAATGGGTTGGAAACCATAGGGGGGAGTATATGCATGTGAGATGCGGGGTTAGCCATTGCTTGCTGTTAGATATTAGAGGGGTGGGATTAGACAGGGGCTGAACTGATGCTGGTGTTGCGGTTGTTGTGCCCAAGGGCACGTATGCTATCGTATGCTATTCCTGCCAGTAGCAGTTCTTATGCAAATGCAGTTTGACATCCTTCCAATTTCTGCTTCCTTGCCTCTCGTTGTCATGAATTGTATTTGTCCGAGAAAGGGTCGCCAAAGAGATTAAAGAGCGAGTGCTAGGCTAGCGCAGATGATCGCGATCTCAAATCTTGGGCTTTTGTCCACAAATCGCCTGGTAGGGCAGATGGCCTGGGGCACTGAGCGCGAATCACGCGAAGCGTTTGTGCTTTCGAAATGTTCTCTCCCGCCAATGTGCAGGAACCTGCAGACACGAGGCTTGTTCTTGTGGTGAGCCCGGCGTGTACAGATGCCAAGACTAGGTAGTTTGCAAGAGGTGACTCTGTAAGCGAGCATATGAGGCCCTTGCATGTTCAATGTGACTCTGAGGACAAATTCAAGTTTCTGTGTCAAGGCTGTACAAGAGTTTAGTGAAGAATTTTTTGGATGCTCTAGGGCCTTTGCTCTCGCATGAGATCTCCCTCTCACCAGCAGAGGGAGAGGCATGTGGCAAAAAGCAACACCTTGTTCTTTTTGCAACATCGAGGATCTTTGGCTCAAGATCCTCAACTGTAGCAACCCTGCAGCTTTGCACTTGTCTAGTTAAAACGATCCCTCACAAAGGTCAATTTGTAGATTGTCCGCTGATTTGTTGTCGAGGCTCTGCGGCTCAAAGGCTTAGCTGCAGAGGCGCAGCTTTGGCTTTGCACTGATCCTGGTTGGTTCGCAACTTGCGGGCCATCGTGTTGCAGGGGAGGGACTTGCTTGATGATTTCCTCCGTCAGCCCAGATGCACTACCTTGCACGTGCCGCACTTGCTTATTTCTTGCTGCACCAGTAATGTACTGGACAATCGTTCTCGTGGGCAGGTCCTTGTTTCGTTTTTCAAAGGGTGAGAGTGTATGCCATATGGAACTGAAAGTTGAAAAACTTTGCTTTCCTTGCATGACATGGTCAAGAGCCTGTCCAAGCCGCTGAAGCCAGTCCCCCAATCCCTTTGCCCATCCCCAACCTGTTGGGCTCAACTGATCCCAAAGCGTTGCTTTGCATCCAAAGTTCCTGCCTCAAGGCAAGAGCCAAGCTCAAAGAGTTCTACTAGGACCAGGTGCAAGGAGGGGCCTGTGGTTAGCTGGGAAGGAAGGAATGAAAAAGAAAATGGAAACTAGCATGAATTATACTAGGTTATATAGGGGCTACTTCAGGGTCCATTCCTCCATTCCTAGCTAACCAGAAGGGGCTAGCTACAGCCAGGGGAGGAAGACTTTGTGTATCGCAGTTTGGGCTCGTAATCAGGCTTTCGCGATCTTTCAGGCGTGCTTTGTCTGGGGCTTAGGTTCCGGCATTTTTGGCTCTGAGGGTGCCGCTATATGCCAGCTCAGGGGAGCATCTTTAGGTGGATTTGGACAACCTCTGGCATCAAGGATGTTATGGAAGTACACAGGACATGGTCTTCCTCCTAAGAAAGCGCTATTGCATGCTTGGCAGGAGTAATCTTGTATCGAACTGCGTATGCTTTGCATGCTTTGGCGCCAAGGCAGATTTTGAAACATGGGTGTGCGCAAAGCATGCTTGCGCTCCGGGCCCTCAGGCGCGGATCATTCCGCACTCCGGGCGTACCCCTTCGCAGTTGGGATGGTTCGCGCCAGCTGGGCAGAGATCATGGGAGAACTGCCTCTGCGCTGCCAGGTTGGAGGGATTCCTCTTGGCCCTTCCAGGGCTGGGCCGATTGCTACATAGCTTTTAACGATCCACCAGGTGAGTTGCTCCATATCATCTTAACCCTGGTGCGAGCGCGACTCTTGGAAGTTGACCGCCTTGTAAGCGTGGCGGGTTCGATGACTGCTCTGAACTTTCTCACAGCATTGAATCCTGGACACATACACTTCTTCGACATGAACCCCTGTGCCATTCAATGGGGCAGGATGCTTTGCGAATTGATCTTGCTCTCGGACACACCGCAAGAGTTTGTGTCACGACTCTTTGCGCGAAATGTGGCTGAGTTCGAGCATCATGCCGGGAAGCTGACTGTCTTGAACCAGGACAGGTATTTGATGTGGCCTGCGTCCGCAGCCTTGCGCAACAGCACGCAGCGATTTCTATCGCACGAGGCTGCTGCTGTTTACTCCCAGATTCTGCGCTCTTACCAGGACAGACATGAAATCCATCACAATTACAAGTAGCGCCAGTTCTCAAGGATGGCAACAGCAGTAGCATCAGTAGGACAGTCACTCTCATGGGTGTCGACTTTTGCCAGTTGTTACGCACTACATGACTTTTCAAGAACACTGGCGTGTAGCATGTTTGAGGGAGACTGCCAGAATTGCCTACTCTTTGACTTGGCGGAGATTGTATACAGCCTAGTTAATTCGTTACATGACAAAGGTCTTAGCACTTATTGAACCGACCCAAGAAATTTGGGTGTTGCTGTGTGCCACCTCAGTGAAGGTCTGACAAAGCACGACAACCAAGATGGGCATCCTTCTGAAGTCAAATCGGCTGCGGCCATCTCCTGCAAGTTTCCCTTGACATTCCCTTTTTTTTAGGCAGCCACGCGCCCTAAGCACGACATGTACGTGTGAGCCCCTTATAGTGCCGGCACGTGCCCTTTGTGTTTCGCATCATTCAGGATGGGGCTGTGCTCAGCGGTTGGCACACGCCCCGCATTGTGCCCTGCGAAGATCGCCGACAGCTGAGCCACGCCACTCGCTCGGGCCTCTGGGATGCTATAGTTACAGGGAGGGTCTTGTATCGGTTTGACAGCAGTCTGTCTGGCACGGCAAGGGTGGTGCAAAAAGTCTACACGTACAAAAAGGATTCGATGTTTTGTGTTCTTGCGACTCCTCCGCTAGCTCCAAGACCTGAGAACCTGAGAACATGCTGTTGGACGTCAAGAAGGGCATGGGCCATGGAATCATTCAAGAAGGTAGGTCTTGATACTGTGAGCGCATCCATGATCAGTCGCCCAACAGCATCCAGGTTTGGGCAGTCAGGGCCGTCTTCCGAGTGACCTCGGCTGCTTGTGGAAGCTCTGAAGTCCTAAGAAGAAAGGGTACCTAATTCCTGGCCCTCATCAGGGGTCCTGCATAATTTTCGAGGCATGCGTTCCCTGAGGGCCACGCGTTCTAACTAAGTCTTGAAATTTTTCTCCGAGGATTGAGAGGCATATAGAGTTAGAGCGGCTGAGCATCGAATCACTTCCAACGGGACGGCGCACGCTTTGAAGACATAATATCCCAAGAGTGTGAACACTTTGGAGTGAGGATAAAGAAGTAACCACTGCATATTACAAGCCAACTTTTTTTTGGGTTGCTTCTGAAAGTCGACTCTGCCAATCTAAAGCCAAAGCCAATTTTCCAAAAGTCCTGCCAAACTAGGTGGAGTAATTGCTAGGAATTGAAAGCCCTGTGAAGCATACTAGATTTACTCTGAAGAACTGCGAGGATCTATCAGGTTGAGTCTAGCCTTTCTGGGGTGTCAACAGTAAGGTCTTTGGTGAAAGTGGAAGTGTCAAGCAAGAGGCTGTTTCAGGTTTGGTATTGTTCATGGCCAAGCTGCTCGAAGACTACTTTAAGTTGTCGATGTCAAAGTTTTTGTGTTCCATGCTGACTCTAGCTGAGTTGTGACAGGTGATGGAGTGGCATCCTTCCAGTATGGAGAGGGTTGGCTGGGGTCAAGCTGGCTCTACTCAGAGGTGCGAAGGAAATTGCGGGAAACCTCGGTGACATGGGCGAGCTGTGTGGATTTCCCGGTGGCAGAGCCTGAAGACTTGCTTCCAAGAGCAGCTCTTGAACAATCTGTGAAGCCGCCCATCACGCTTTTGAGCCTTGCCTGACACCTGTTTGGCATTGTAATAGCTGCACCTTTTGATGATAAGTCGCAATTGCTGGCAGGCACGGTTAGCCCTCTTTTTTTAAGCTTCGCCACCATTCTAGGTTCGTGATGGATATGTTCTCCTCCGAGTTTGCAAGTGCTTGGTCGGAAGACAGGGCCCTCCGGACCGGGATGCGCGGAAATGAGCGGATGGTAGATGGGAAAGTTCTCATCCGCATCGTCAATCCACGTCTTGGTATCAAGCAGCACTTTTCCTTGAATCTGATGAGGATGGCGCAGCATGCGGGGCGGCTGCTTGTAGCCCAAACCATCACTGCACAAAAGAGTCAGCTGCTGCAGGAGATTGTGTTGTGTTTCAAGTGAGTTTGCCACATAGTTAGATGTTTGACTTGAAAAGGTAGTGTCTGGGCTCTAATTATGCTGAAGAATGTGCTCCAGTTCCCTTTAGAGACTCTTTCCTTATAACTTGTATCTCTGAATTTGGACGTGCTACGGCCAATGATGTGTCGTTCACTTGCATAGCTTCCAGCCCTGAATAAGACTCAAGGTCTTCAGAATCCATTTGGGGAGTTTATACTAGGCTTGAGTTGTACTGCAGGAGATGCCAGATATTGGTCCAAACCTTTGACATTCACTTCAGGGAATCATAGGATGTGACCTGATAGTCAGAGACCCTGGACAACCTGCGTTGGCTGCAGGAATTCATCCCAGGGCAGTCTCCGAATTGGAGCCTTGGAGGAATCCAACTTGTTTCTTGTCCTGGAGGAGTCAGCATGCCCCTCCGCCAAGAGATTCCCGGGATTCCTTTCTGGGATAAATGGCTGATTACATACTTGGTCGCATCATTTCGGACGTGACAGTTGTGGCAAGCTGGTTAGGAATGTTCGACTCTGTTCGATTGTGTGTTGGTGTGGAATCAACGGAACAACTACCAAAAGGGGTGCGGAAGGGTCTTTACAGGCATCAGCGGTTGTGTGGTAGGTCTCAAACCAGTTAGCCATTTAGACCTGAAGCCCGTAATCAACTGCAAAGTAAGATTTGAAGCTTTGGCGCATACGTAAGACTCCCAGCCTTACACGTCGCCCAGACCTCAAAAACTTGCAACCCCAGACTTGCGAAGCAGCCCACAGCTCCAACGCCTTAGGAAGAGCCTTGCAGACTGGGATTCCACAATGCTATTGCCCAGCGAGTTTTGCCGTGCCTGGACTCTTGGGATACAGGCGTCAGTGAAACCTTGGTGCGTGCAGAAAAAAGGTGTTTTGGAACCAGAAGTCCATGATTCCATGATCCCTTTGTTAGCTAGCTGCAGCTACTGTAGTGGATCCTCCTGGTGCAGGCTAAGTGTTTTCACTTGCCACGGTGAGGTCGTAATGTAAACCTAAGGCCGACTGCTGTAGAGTGCATGGGTCTAATCACATAGTCTGATACTTCCACAGGCTCTGATTACAATTGCCATGCATGCGGTGGGTCGTGGTTTGATCACGTGTGCATGCTGTGCGGGAGCAGGTGGGACAGAGAAATAGAGTTTAGAGAGTGGTTGCTGAACAGCGAATGAAAATCAAGGTGTTGGAGCTGCTTTCAGCTCTGGTTGTCGCCCTCCTGGACTGTCTGGCGAGGTCTGGATACTTAGGCGAAACTCTCCAACATGAAGGGTTCCGGTCCTACTGTTTGAGCACGGACGGTCAGGATTTTACAGCCTCATGGGCCTTCTTCATGAGCTGCAACTTTCAGCCACAACTGTTCAGCCTCAGCGGGACAGAACTTCGCCATCCCTGTGAAGGTGCTGAGGAGCTGCCATCCACTACTGCGAGATCCCACGCTGAGCCCACATGCTCGCCGCATTGTTGAAGAGCTCACGCGGAGTTCAGACATGTTGCCGAGTCTGGAGAGCAAAGAAGCACACAGAAAAAAGTTCTCCAGCAGAACACGCACGTTACTATTTGTTTCTTCTTTCTTGGTGATAACAGCAAAAAAGATAATCAAACTCCTGCGTGATAGCGCTGATGTTTTGACATCCTGTGTTTCCTTAAGTCTGTCTGATCACCTTGTGCTGGTAGTCACGGATCCCTGCTAGTATCCGCCGCCTCTTTCTTGCTTGGTCGGGCCTCAGGTTTTGAAAGGCAAACTCATCTTCGTTATATGCACAGCAGGGCTCATGGAACAGAATGGCAGGTTGGCTTTCGGGGTCTGGACCTGGTGGTTAGCTTGCTTAGGTTTGGCTTGTTCCAGTGCGCCTCGTCGTGAAATGTGGTTAAGTTATATTGTCGTGTAGACTTTGTAGACTCAATTCTCCAACTGCAGCACCAGCCCTGCATGGTTGCAGCTAAAAGCATCAAGGGGCATCAGGGCAGGAAGGACACGCAAACAAGCATTGATACTGTAGGTTGGCATTACATTCAGCGGCAGCGAATGGCTCCTGCCACACACGCACACCTTCAAGCCCACCACCTGAAATGACCTGAACGCGTAAGGAAAGCCCCGACCATGCCCAAAATCATCTTTCCCAGCCAGAGAGCTTCGAAAATCTCCCAAGTTGCCCACTGAGAAGCAACACGTTCCGTTCTCCGCCGATGAAGCGACGTGGCCAGCAGCCCGCGCCCAAGGCAAAGGGGAAGAAGCAGGAGGAGGCTGGGATGGAATGCTATGGAAAGCCTTTGCCTCAGGATCAATGACCAAGCCGCGCTGCTGAGTGCTTGATTGTTCCTAGAGGTGTAGAGCAATTGCTTGCATATACACGTGTCATGGTAGGTGCAATATGAATAGTCTTTGTCCCCGAATTTTCTTCAGTCCTCAGTCCGCGTTTGCATCGTAAATTAATTTAAACGGCTTCTTACAAGGAGGTTGTGAAGGCTGGGCCCTGGTTTCCTTGGTTCAGTTGTTGGAGGAGATCAGGGCAGAGAACCAAGCTAAGCACTGAACATCCAGAGGTTGGGTGGAGACTGAATGGTCAGAGACAAGAGGGTACTGAGGTATTCTTTCTCGTCCCTTTACTGCTGTGATATCCTGGGGGAAGTTTTGCAGAATCATTTTGCTTTTGTAATCGTTCCCCGCTCAACTAGTTGAAACATGGTTGTCAGCGCCTGCAGGGCCCGAAGAAGCGCATCTGCAAGAAGGGAGCCTACACGGAGCCGACCAGGACGCATGGCAGAATTTTGACGCTGCTTGGGTGAGCTGGTCTCTCATCGTGCTTACTCTGCTTGCAGTGGTGGTTTCAAGCATGAAGGGATGCCTGCTAGTAGAGGCTGGGGGCATGCGTCCGCATTAGTTCTGATCTTGCATCAAAGCGAAGTTGAAAGGCAGCAGGTGAGTCACAATTGGCTCAGCGGCTAGGCGTTGTTTCGATGTTTTACAGTAAGCCCAAGAAGGACAGATTTGAAACTCGCATGTGGTTTTCATCTCAAATTTCCAGAGACGATGCTGATTTCGGCGTTCGCATGGATATTTGGCACCTGCATGTTTTTGGCGTGAGTCTCAGAAAAAGCAAAGCCGAGGAAGCGGCTCGGAAAGGCGGTGGTCTTATGTTTGTGTAAATTGGCAGTATTTGACGCTGGGGCTAAGGACTTCCCCATGATTACCACTTTTGGTTTTAGGCCAAGGTAGGAAGCTCGCTTATGACCTGGCAGCACCGTGTAGCGGGAGCGCAAGCCTCCACGACCTCATGTGTGCATGTTCGGGCCTGCGATGCAACAGAGTGGCGGCTGACAGGCCGAGCTTGCGGCTGCGCACCAGCGAGCCCAGGACAGCGGGCCGCGCCACCACACATGCAGTTGCTTCTTGATTTTGTTCGACTGGATATGAAGAGATTTTTCACCAATTCCAGCTGCTGCCACTGCCATGGAAGGAAGTTGTGGAGTCCGCGCTGCATCAGACCCAAGCAGTGGAAGTTGCGCTGCGGAAGGAAGCAGAAGAAGCTGAGGCACTTCTGGTTGTAGCATCATCCAGCTGCGGGCGCCAATTGTTTGTTAGCCCTGTCCAAGAGCAGAGTTTGGTTCAATGTAGGTCCGTCTGAGGGGTTTGGTCACACATTGACAGGCGGGACAGATTGCGCAGTCATTCTCCTATACAACCCTATAGAATCCCCATAATCGCTGTAGTTTCCATTTTCTTTTCCATTTTTACTATATTAACCCCTATATAACCCCATAATCCCAATATAGCCCTATAATATGGTAGTTTCCATCTTCTTTTCCATTATCCCAATATAACCCCCAATATATACCCTAAAATCCCTATATCCCTCCAGGCAGCCAAACGAGAGCTCCAGGCTTCAGAGTCTGCGCAAGCAACGGCTGCCGAGCTGCTTGGCGAACAGGTTTAGGGGACCCAATAATGGAGAATCAAATGGAAACTGAAATGGAAGCCCTAGGTCCCTTTAAAGGGGTATATCGGTATATTACCCTAATAATAATGGAGAATCAAATGGAAAAGAAAATGGAAAATGACATGGAAACTACTATAATGGGTTGAAGGTTATGGACTGCTGCAAGAATCGCCAGAACTGCACAATGCGCCCCAAGCATGTGGGTGACAGATGCCACTTATCTAGGAGGGGCTGCTGTATATTACGTGCGGCTTTCACTGTAGCGATCAGACCTCCGCAGTGCCAAACATGACCTACTTTTCCTGCTTGGTCATTGTTGGGCCGAGTTTTGATAGGAGTTTTGAGAGTCAGCCGGAAGTAGTTGCAGTAGCGAGTCGATCCTGCTTGGAAGCCCAAATGTGGCTATGACATAAAGTTTCAATGAGTGTGGAAGGCGCTCTTCAGAAATAGCGGGCTGTCCTTCCGCGGGGGGGTCGCGGATATTATCAATAGTGCAACCTCAGAGCTCACTTTCAAGAATTCACCTTGCCTGCCGTGCGACTTGGAAAAGCTGTAAAACTCATACGGCCATAAAGCAATCTAAGCCAAAGCGCCCAAACCGCTAGAACCCGAAACGCTCATATCCAGAGTTCTGTTTTGGAAAGCAGAATTAACCTTGTGTAGCTCTGTTTATATAATCCCCAGTCAACCTTGCATAATCCCTGAATTCTGCTTTGGCCTTCCAGGTGCGCGGCAGCCGCGCAGCGCGCTGCGGAGGCATCTGCAGCAGCTGCCTCTGAAGCTGCGGAGCGCGCAGCTGAGGCCCCAAAAGCTCTACCCTACTCGTTATTACAATTAGAGTTGTTAATGTTCTTCTTTCCATGATGAACATTGTCCTTGTTCATATTGCCGGTATTCCTGATGTCATTAACAACGCAGTGGTAGTCATAAAGATATTACTTGTAATAATCATACTCACATTATTACTAAGAAATCGCCGTATTCATACGATTCTTATTAGTGGTAGTCTCAATGTCATTAGCTTCTGACTCAGTTGAGAACAAGTGGAGGGAAACCACAGTGGAAACCAACATAGTATCTGCGTGTGTGAGGTTCAGAACTAAGCTACTGGATCAGGGACTACTATGGGGGTTGTCTGCAGAATCTAGGAGATGCCAAAGGGGTTCATTCCGCCATTCCCAACTAAGCAGGAGTAAAGGAAGGGTCGGGGGGTTGGGGGGTCCAAGGCGCTTGTAGTAAGGGCCTCCTTACATCAGTCAAACCCAAATTTATGGTTCCCAAGGTAATGACAAGGCTGAACAATATTTTTTTAGGATAAGTTACCATAAGGAATGTTCAGATTACCTAGACCGACTGAAAACTATACCCAAATAAGGGGAACATTCACATGGGAATCCTTTGTGAAGGATTCCTGCATGCCAGGCCAGGCGCCGCGCAGAGGACGCCGCAGCCGCTGCAGCCGCCGCGAAGCGGGAGGTGGATGCCAGCACGGGGGTTTGGCAATTGACGACGGTTTTAGTACTTGTAGTACTTCGAAGGCAGTTGCTGCTCAATTACTCCAGAAATTGAAACACCTAGCAATGATACACCACCGCTGCCGCTGCCAACGCCAGCGTTACTGCCACCGGTACCGACGCTACCACCACCAGCAGCACCACCCTCACCAGCAGCAGCACCTGCGCTAGCGCCAGCAGTGCCAGCAGCACCACCAGTAATAGTAGCAACATTACTTCCGATGAGGAGGAACAGGACGAGCAGAACGAGTCCCCCAAAAAATGCCGGGATGAGACTTCGCTGGACTGGTCCCTCTGAAAAGAGCAGAGAAGGATTTGTAGACACACCTGAACCAAGACGGCTTCAATAGGCCAGTACAAGTAGAAGCCTTACAAACCCTACCGCCTACAGCTTTAGGGACTCCTAGGCTGAATGTTTTCAAGTTCCTGCAGAGCGGTTTACAGGGGTGGTACAGAAAGAGACAAGAGGTAAGGTGAAGCAAATCAGGATATGGGATTATAGGAAGGCAGGCTCGGGTTTCCAGAAAATAGGCTGGGCAAATGATGTGGAATTGCTTCAATGCTTACTGTTTCTCCTAGGGGGGGGGGGTGCTCCAACTAAAGCAGAAGGCAAGAACCCTTTTCCAGTTCTAACATCTCAGTCGATGGGCGACGAACATCAGTAAGAGGACACATTTCACGACTGCATTATGGCCACCAAGGTGGGATTCACAGCGTACTCATACTCAGCATACCTCATCATCAAATCGGAGCAGCTCAAAATGATTGTGACAACTTCGCGCTGTGTTGTGCACATAATTTGCGCTGGCGGATATGCAAAGACAGGCAGACACTCTTGCTGCCACACAATCATGACAGCTGGCAAATTTGCTTGCGTGTCCCCGAAACACGCTCTTTCTGAGCTTTCCCTGAATAAAAATCATAGCCGTAGCATTCATACCCAGCGATTCGTCGGGGCGAACTTAAGTCCTGAAGTCTGGATGGGAGAGCCAGTGGCGCTCAACTGTCGAGATTACCATCTGCTGCCAGTCCAACCGTCCGAGCATCAAAATTCGTACACATCGCACAAGCATGCAGGAAGACTACTGACGGTGTTGTTGTTACTAAGCGGTCCTTGTGCTGGTGTGGCTCCCGCTAGGCTGAAGAGCGGGAAGAGGCCTACAAAAAGAGCCAAGACGAAGCCCAGGAGGCGGGACGGGTGGACAGATCTTTGTTCTGAAGCCATGATATGTACTGTAGTTGGCTTGGCTTCCTGCTCCAGGCCGACTGGAATGTTAAGTGTTTAAGGGCCATGATGACTACGCTTGGGTGTAAGCTAGGCTATCAGTCAATCCCAAGATTCTACCCGCGGGGGGCATGTTCACCGTGGGCTTCCCAGTGCCAGGGCTCCTTGAAGTATGCTTTTGGATTTCTGAAGCAGGCTGTCTTGAAATATGGTTCATGGTGTACTTGATGTAAGCGTGCGGAGGCCCAGAGCAGGCCCCTAGGTTCGACAACTGTGCATACGAAGACATGCGTGCACACGAGCACAGCGCCTTTTAACAACACTAGTCGAAGACGAAATAATGCGCGATACAATCACGGGGGGAGGGGGGTGGGCGGAAACAAATGTTGGGCCTAGCTTGCTGTAAGGAAGGACGTGTCACTGTCAGCTGCAAGGAGTGTCAGTTGCAGACTCCTGTCAGTTTGTTCTGCAACATACCTACGGCAGTGGAACTCCGACGGTAGCGGCTCTTCAAATTGAGTATGCCAGAGTGCACATAGCCTCTCAAATATCCTCTCGTACCCTGTCTTTGCGGCGTGAAAGGCAGACAGGCGACTTCAGGAAGAGCTTCTCCGTGGCGAGGCACCCCAACCTGCGTCAGGTATGTAAAAGCTTGGGACGGGGTTTGGGATTCAGAGACTATGCCCTGCCATGGTAGTGGCCGCAACGAATTGCTACTGGTAGCAATGAGTTTTGGAGTATTTCTCGAAATGCTTTGCTTTAGGCTCGAAGTTGTGTAGGTTGTAAGCTAGAGCCCTCGCATCCCCAGCCCTCGGCACAGCAAGCTTGCTCATGCAACATTGTCTAAACAATTGGGGAAAATCTTTTTTTCCCCAATTGTTTTCCCCAATTGTTTAAGGACATTTTTCCCCAATTGTTTAGTCCCAGCTGGAATTGGACCATTGCCTTAGTGTCCTTTGGTTTGTGGTCGGCAGATTGGGCAAGGCGCAGCTCACATGTGTATATGGTAGTTTGGTGTATATTATTGGGGTTAGATAGGGATAATGGAAAATAGAATGGAAACTACAATTTAGGGTTTAGGGTTTAGGGCTGATATGTGGATATGTTAGTTTCCCAAAATAAGGGGACCCCAATCTAGACCCCAATATACTATAGTCTTTATTATGGGGACCCCCAAATTGGTACTCCTAATTTTGGGAAACCCCCATATCTGCATTGTAAATCTAGGCGCAAACTGCCAGCGCAAGGATCACAGTTGTTATTCTTGTCACTGGTCATTGTAGATTCGAATGCAGTCCTCCCGCCAAATTGCCATACATCCCCTGGGATGCTACCCATCTTGGGTACTGCCTCTGCCCTATAATAGTGGTAATATTCAGGGCCACATATAAGTAGATTTTTCATATTTTCTGGCTGTTATTGAGTGGGGGCAGTGCCCAATACCTCTCTACCTTCAATCAACTTGCTGCTTCTTAGTAGAGAATATAGGGGAATATATTCCACAAGGATTATTCAGGGATCATGTTCGCCCTACTCCTAACCACTAAACCGCCAAGAACCAGTATCAAGGGACTTCAGGAGGGACTCCTAGAAGGGACCCCTAATCCCATTACCTTATATAACCCCTTATATAGGCCTTATGTACCCCCCATATAACCAGGTAGTACCCATATTGCTCCCAATAAGCTACATGGGTCCCCACTAAGGGTCCCTCCTAAAGCCCCTAGACAGTAAGTCAACTTGGTTCTCCAAGGCTCAGCGACAGGCCGGGGAGGAGGCCAAGCGCCGGCGGAGCCAAGAGGAGTCGTCTCAAAGCTTTGGAGTACCAAGGTGTAGGGTTTAGGATTGGGGATCAGGGTCTAGGGTTTAGGGTTTAGATGGATTTAGGGTTTGATGGGTTTAGGGTTTAGATGGGTTTAGGTTTAGGGTTTACTGGTCGTTAGGGAATAAATCACATAGGAAAAAAGGGATTTTCCTTTATTCCCTACCGAATCTAAGGATCATTAAGGTTAGTGTTCGGGGATCCTTATAACAAGGCCAGGACACAGAATGGTGCCTGAACAAAAGATGGAAACTCAGGTAGGCATTGGTTGAAAAACAGCGTGGGGAGACGTATCACGGGGCCTTCGCGTTGGAAGTGCGCATACCTGGCGCGGTGGGGCACGCCTTTTCTGTAGTGCCGGTTGTTTGAGTCAGCCTCGTCGGGCGTCAGGGTGATAAGGTGTTTGGGAAAGTCGGGCTTTGGCTGCCTGTAAAACCAAGACCAGCGTTTTTTTTTGGTGAGTCAGGGAGTCAACACCAAAGACTGACTAGAGCTGCATGCAGAGGAGAACCTCTTGATTTTCAAGCTGCGCAGCCTCTGTGAACAGCTGGGCTTGGCAAGCCAAGCTTCCAAGCAGGACATTTCTCAGGTTTGGGAAAAGAGTCTGTTTGGAATGATTTTTGGTTCGTTGGTAGGAGAAAGAACAGTGGAAATCGATCAGAGTTTGAGAAGAGATTCTCTTGCTTAGAGCAGCTGCAGGCTGCAAGTTGTTTGGCTTTGATGCAGCTCTCTAGTCGAACTGACATGACATTCAGCAGGACCTCGTAGATGCCTTGGCAAAGCACTTGGAGGATGAGGGCTATCCCGTGCTTCTTGCATGCAAGCTGCAGAATCCTGCGCTCGCATGAGATGCTTGAGGGATTATGAACTTCACAGAGGTCTGTGCTTTCACCAGACAGGTGACCGGCTGTGCTACGTACTCGTAGATGAAACTCACCGTGCAAGCTGTGCGGGGCACCCTGCTGCTAATGGCCACATCTCAAGGGAGTGGCCCAGCACCTAAGGAAGCGGCCCAAGATCGAGCAGGCTCCGGAGGAGGTCTGAGCAAACGGTTTGAGGTTAAGGGGGTTCGGAAGGTCGTGGCAGGCCACCTGCATCTAGGAGCTCATTTTCGACATGTGTGTGGAGTTGCTTGCTTTGCACATTTGCACAAGGTGAATCATTACATGACGTGAATCCTGCATGAAGCCTGCATCTGCCTTGTTAGCCGAAGTACAGGGCAAGGGTGGGTGGAGGGTCAGTGGGAAACTGTCTGTCTGCTCTCCATTTTGACTCGATCTGCAGGCTGCTCCAGCTCCTTGCCAGGAGGAGGCCGAGTCCCAGGCACGGGAACCCAGGCAACCGAATCAAATCAAATTGGATCATTTTTGCTTTTTTGCTTGCTGGATGAGCTTCTGGTTTCATGTGAGCAGCATCTGGACTTCATAAATCGTAGAAGAAGCACACAGGCTGAACGAGACAGTCCGAATCTTGTTTGGCTTGAGACGCTCACGTTGTTACTTCCTGTTATGGTGGCAGTCATGAGACGGGTGGCGTTCGCCTTTTGGACAAGTTCGGTATGCACGCCGTCTGGAGACACTGAAGTCCTTCCCAAGCCTCAGGTCAGTGCCAGCGCAGCAGCCGCAGATGAAAGCGCTGCGGAAGGAGCTTTTCTGCAAAGCAGGGGATGGGACTTGATGGTTGCCAGAGGCACATTGAGATGCTTCCTCATCATCCAGGTGGTAGACCCAGGCTTTTTGGAGCCGTTGTCAGTGTTGCCTCTGACATGCCGCGCCACTCCGGGGGTTCGTTTTGCCTTCAAGGCTGAATGTCTGGAAGGAGTTTCATGTCAGGCCGTTTGCAAGGTACTTAGGGGGGTGGGCAGCGCCCGCTCAGCGGGTGAAGCTGTGAGTTGCGGCTGTCTGAACAGCCATGGGATGTTTCCGACTATCACTTGGGATGGTAGGGCTTGAGCTGTGCTAGAATTGTCTGAAGTTGGGTCAACCCTGGACATGCAGGCGCCACATCCCAGGAGGTCGTGCCGGATGTAGCAGCGTCGCCAGAGAAGGCCCTTCCAGCCTCGCCGACAAAGGCGAGCCTGGCTGTAGAGGAGTCTTCTGACGAACAGAAACTTGGGCATTCCTTGGCTGTCGGAGTGTCTGAGCCTCTTTTGGGGTGTGATGGTTGGGCTCGAGTCATTGGTCCGAAAGTTGAGTGTCTTGTTTCCTGAGTGTTCCCTAGTACGCTAGGACAGGTTCATTCAAACTGAAGACCTCGTTTTTTCGGCTAGCTTAGGCGGGAGTTGTAGCTTAGATGGGAGTTGTCCACTGCCTTTTGTGGTGGGGTTTCCGAACATCTCCTAGGGACTTATAACCTCTTGGGGTCTATATTGGGCCCACGCTCTTCTTGAAACCCCCTTGTGGCCTGGCGACTACACCCTAAGCCCTAAACTCTCTGCCCCCAGCCTTTAACCCTAAGCCCTAGGCCCTAAACCCTAAACCTTAAGCCCTAAATCCTAAGTCCTAAACCCTAAGGGTTGCTCAAATTTGTCCCTTGCTGGTCGGGGAGGCCGGCCCATCGGCTCCATCTTCCGATGTCCCAATGGCCGAGGCCACAGAGACATTGGGCCATGCTTAGGGTTGAGGGGTTATTGCGTTAGCGTTCAGGGTTTTAGGAGCTAGGGGTCATAGGGTTTAGGGTTTAGGTTTGAGGGGTATATCTAGGGTTCAGGGAGAGTATCCCCCAATAATGGAGAATCAAATGGAAAAGGGATACCAGGTGGAGCTCCGATAATAATGCTTCAATTGTGACTATGGGGCCCCCCCCACGTGGATTTTTTGGTTCCCGCCTGGCATCTCAGCCATAAAGTCAGAACCCCAAAGCATGCACTTCGAAAAGAGCTTTGTAAAGCTGCTGTCAGCGGCGGGCAAGAGGCGCCGGCAGCATCCGTCGTGACGGCATGGTGGTCTGCAGTTCCAAGCGGGCTTCGCTGTGTTGAGAAAGTTCAGCGCTTGATTGTATTCAAAGGCAGCAGAACGGATCTGAAGCATCTGAAGCTTGAAATGGCAACATTGGCGTCTCAAATGGCAAGCCTCAAGATCATGCAAGCAAGGAGGATTGAGCAGAGGGAATAATTGTGCCACGAGGCTGCCAGCGGCTCGAGCTCAGCCCCCGCTGCCTCAGCAGCACTTGGCATTACATTCTTTTGTACGTAGGCTCTGGCGAAGATGGCCAGCTAGGAGGTGGTCACGGTGCTTTTGTTATCGGTCATTTAAATCCTAGTGCCGAGGCTCGAGAGTTGACGTAGCAAATTGAAATTCAAAGGCCCAGGCATTGGGATAGGTTTTTTGGGGGGGGTCCTACACTGCTTCCTCGCTCGCTTTGCTGTCACTTGTTGCTTGCTTTGTGGCCTGTCGCTTTTGCGCTTGCGCTCGTCTCGGATTCGGCAACAACACGAGCGCTTGAGGTCGCACGATTGATGAATTGACCAACCCACGGGTATGGTTGTAAGCTGCAGGAGTCAGCCAGCTGGAAGGGAGTTCACAGACACACCGCCAAAGCCCAAAAAGCAGAGGTTTGCACGCAACGCTGTGGTTTTATCCAGTGGCGCAAATCTTCCAGTTGCCAGTTGCCACGGGAATGCGCCTTGTTTCCTGCATCCACTGCTTCGTAAAATGTAAGGCCACAGCAGCTGCAACCGCGGCCTCCAGCAATCCGGTTGTGCTTGTCCCGCGGCACTGCAGAGACTGCAACATGTCACAGAGATCTTGTTGTTGCCGGTTCTTGGGCAAGCTTCATGGTACATGAGTACATGAGGTTGTAGAGGGCGGCCAGTTCCGCGTGGAGAACACGTTCCCTTTAGAGACGGCAGAGGCAGGGCTCGACTTTGCTCGACACATGCATGTCTGTTTGCCCGCTAGGGTGATTATGCATGCAGGCCCAGCAACATGCGCTGCGGGCGGCACTGGCTGACGCGGCTGCTGCGCTGCAGCAGAGGAAGCAAGCCCAGTGCATCCTGCAGAGTAGTGGGATTTCAGATAGTGAGGGAAATCGTGAGTTTGGATACTGAAAGTGAAAGTGGAAGGCTCAGAAATTTCAGGGTGCAGAGATGCAAGAAAAGGGCGTAGAGAGAGCTCAGAAACATCTCCATAGTTGTGGTGAAGACAAGGTGGTGCAGGGACATTTCACGAAACGAGGGCCCTTCGCACAACCTTCTTAAATTAGTCTGGAAAAAGGGGATGTATAATTGATTTTGGGACTGACCCAACTGAACATGTCCTGGGGGTCCCTTCCTTTCCGGTAGAGCTGCCTCAGTCTTGTCAGGTCTCAATCAACTGTACTGTTGAGATCCAAGCAGAGTCTGGTGTTGTTGTATTCTAGAGAAGGCTGTCTGGCCGGGCCCATGACTTGTGAATCCTGAAGCCAGCTGATATGAAGTGGGAGCCAACATGTACATAGATTCAACCAGGTCATGCTCGATGCATGAACTTCACTTACTACATCAAACGTCACAACTTCAGAGCGTTTTCAGATGCTGTTGTTTTTAGCCTTCTTGTCACTGTGCAGTGTTACATCTCATGGCGACAGCCCTTAAGAAGTTCGGACCAACTTTCAACGGGAAGCTGGCAGTTTGGGATGGGCTCGCGCGAGGAAGGCTGAGGTGGTCAAGGCCAAGGAGGCATTGGCCTGCTACGGAATTTCGCCGGATGGAGATCATTCAATCGCGTGCCTAGGTTGGTTGCAAAGGAATAGTCCTGTTGCATAATTCAAAAGTTCCACATGAACAGATTTCGGATTTGAGTTCAGGCAAGGTCCAACCATGGAGGTCCATGTTCCGTCGAGCTAACTAGACTGGAAGACCGAACATCAAGACCTGAAAATCCCTGCTGAATAGGCAGCCTGCTTTCATGCACAGCAGGTTGAGCGACTGGAAATGGCATGCAGACCTTGCGAGCTTTGCTCGCAGTATGGTGGGTAGAGCAGTATACGTCACCTGCCATGCCGGAACTGTCCTTTAACTGGGTTGCGTCTGAGGGGCCTTCAGCACTTGCAATCGTAGTAGCAGGGGGCCATTCTCGAGTTTCCCAACAGGACTCCAGGCCTTGAACACCTGAAGGCGGCTTGCAGAAGCCCATCCCTAGTTGCAGGCGCACAACGCCTTTCTAGCGCAGATGGACGCCAGAGCTCAAGCTGCCAAGTCAACTGCCAAGAAGGCCACACTGTGGTGGTTTTTGTTGCTGCTAGCACCGGCACCCTCAGGGACTAACTGTAGTTTGCCGTGGTGCTTCGAAGGGCTCGCAATGTGCTGCACAGTTTGCTGTGGCAGCGGGTTGTATGGACCAATCAAGCTCCAAATCTAGTTTGAGAGCTGACATGAACGCCAGCTCCTGGGAGCTTTCGGAGCTTTTGGGAGATTCATTCATCGACTATTGGTTATGAAGCTGCGTCTGACCGTTGGGAGCCGTATGACGTTTCAAAGAGTTACGTACCCACAGCATTAGGAGGGAAACTGCCATCTAAGCTGAAATGCTTCAAATCTGAACCGCCGCCTGACCTTTGTCGAGCGCTGTTTTCGAGTGTGTCATGCCATCAGGGTTTAATTTTTTGTGGTTCCGTTGCTTCGTCACTGGGGGTTATAACGAATGATAAGGGACTAGGGACTTCCTAGATGCCCGAGGAAAAGTCTTGATATCCTTAGGGCCTTATACGCCACTGTATTCCCCGCTGCTTTTGTGCCGGATTCCTTGTTCCAACCAATAAGGCCTCCACCTGAAGCTTCAGGGCCCACCAGGCGTTTCCCATTCCTCAGATCCGCAGCTCTGAAATTAGGCACAGCAAGTGGTGTAGTTGGTTGCTGTAAAGTTTAGCTTTAGGCTTGGATCTCAAGCCCCACAACCTAGAGACCTTATTAGGGATTATTGGGGACTAATAATAAGGGCTTATTTGGGCTCAACAGGGCTTATTACGGGGACCCTAAGCCTAACATAGCAGCGGCAGAAACCTCATGCCAATCTGGCAGACGTAAAAGTCCGAGGGGTTACAAAAACACCTTAACATGACAAACGCCTTCGCAGGCTGACGATGCGGTCAAGAAGGCTCAGGAGTCGCTGACGGCCTGCGCTTCTCGACTTGGCGTTGCTATGTGATTACATGGTGATTTAGGGGTTCTGTTTAAGGGGACCTAGGGGTTCCATAGGGAGATCTAGCGTTTAGTGTTTCCAGATTAGGGTTGTATACGGGTCTAAAACATGGATTTTTGACCCCAATAATGGAGAGCCAAATGGAGAATTGCATGGAAACCAGGTATGGGTTGCAATGAAACGGAAACTAAGATAGCAGTTAGGAATTCTATGAGGTTTTAGGATATTACACAATGTCTTGTGGCATGATGGTGCTGGGTTATGGTGTTTGGTTGTAGTCCCAGTGTACTAGTGCTATGTAGTATGATCCATGATGTTGTCAAGTTCTACCTGGCAATCGTCCTTGCAGCAAGTGTAGAGTTTTAATACGCTTTAATCCTGCCGGCGTGGCTGTCTTTCAGCTCTGCGTGTTCGAGCCTTTTCCATGTCATCAGCCCGAATTGACAATATGTTAGGCTGTTCAGGAGTCCTTGCAGAAGGGGTCTACTGGCCTGGCTGAGATTTTCGGGGGATGTTCAAAGCATGGCTTGGCCAGTTCTCATGATAGCGTATCCCTGCGGACGCGCGCAATTGGCACAAAGGGTCAACAAAATGCGATTGCCACTATTCAGTCACCCGCGCATGTTTTAGCTGCTCGAGTTGATGCCACCGCATTTGAGTTGCTTTTTGTAGTGCCTCCTGGGCATGGAAAGACTCACCGTCATGAGTAACGCAAAGAAAGGAAGTTCACATGGGCACGGATGGTTCTTCTCTTAATCAGAAGTGGCGGAGTAAAAGGGCCATGCATCCGAGGATGATGAGGTCAGCAAAGTGCAGCGGGTAAAGCAGAATTTCGAGGACACATTGCTTTCCTTTTCAAGTGGATCCTGCTCAAAGGGCCTGATCCAGAACCTGCAGTTGAACATGGGACTGTCCACATTGTTGAAGTTTGCAGGTGAGCTGTGGACTTCCT